TGTTGTCCAGAGAAGGTGCATTCAGCTTTGATGTGAATTGGACTATTCCAGCTGCCTCTGAAGTCATTGGGATCTTTTTTTGCTTCCTGTCAGAGACACAGTGATGTACACCTGCTAACAGACTGTCCTGCAGAGTTGTTGGAGAGCAGCACTGCCAAGAGGTTGCCAAAAAACTTGCTCCAGAGTTTCAGAGACTGGACATTTTCTTCTCTCTTCTTTCATCTCCTGAGAAAGGTCAGGTCCCAAGAGACATACCATGCAGGAATGAGCACAAAGGGTACTCCATGAAGATAAAACAGTCAGGGAACATTGACCTTGACAAAACAAAGATGATACCAATGAGCAGGAGGTGTCTCCTAGTTGAATTTGCATCTGCAGAGAAGCCTCCTTTGACCAAGGATTCCAGAGCGGTGTTACTCTGTCAAATGAGTTTCTCCATTCATGAAAACTCTTGGATTTGTCATTGATGGACAGACTGATAGAACATTTAAAACACCTTGAGGCGCTTGGACGGTTCCTTCACCTGACAGAGATCTGGACTATGATTATCCAGGCATGAAATGATCAGCCTTACAAAACTCTATCAAAGACTGCTGCCAGATTTCCACAGTAACTCGAAATTTTCTCAGAGATCTGTCCTATTTCAGGGGGACAGGTGAGACAGGCAGGAATAGCTGATGACAACTATAACATAATCCATCTACTGAAGTGCAATTTTATGCAGGACTGTCAAAAGGGCACAGAGAATCTATTTGGTCTAGAAATAGACCAGAAATTTGAACATCTAGAAAGCTGGTCTCTTGGAGGGAAGAATCCATGTTGGAGCAGATTTGCTGGCAGGACTGGTGACTCTGTAAGGATCCCATGCTGGAGCAGCCTCTTCCCAAATGACTGCACCCTGTGGGACCCCACACTGGAGCAGGGAAAGAGTATGAAGAGTGGCTTGGTGGTCACCTGGTATCCAGACATGGTCAACTCACCACCTGTAGGGGTGGAGAATGTTCTGGTGTTTGTTGGCTGGGGTAAATCTGATTTTCTTCACAATAGCTGGTATGGAGGTCTGTTTTGTGTTTGTGATGAAGACAGTGTTGATAATTCAGGGATGTTTTGGCTGTCGCAGAGCAGTACTTGCAGAGAATCAAGGCCTCACCTTGCCACACCATCAAGAAAGCTGGAGAGGCACAGCAAGTTGGGAGAGGACACAGCTGGGACAGCCGACCCCCACTGATTCAAGGGATATTCTAAACCTCATGGCAACATGTCGTTCTAATTTGGAACGGCGAAAAGAACGACATAGACTCTCAAGGGAGTCAGAACAGGAGAATTCCCTAGTTTATTACTTTAGGCTTGTTTTATAGACAGATACGTGGAAAGTACAGAAAGGAAACTCTTATTGGTTAGCAAATCAACACATCACCATCATTGGTCAGTGGGGCACAACACCCCCTGACCTTCTCTTGCAAGGAAAACAAGAGGACAGACAAACAGCACCTGGCAGTTGTTTTCTGTCTCTGAGGATTGTTTTGAAATTCTCCTATGAATTTCCCAGGCTAGCTCTCAGGCAGGACTGAGAGGCCATGGGGCCTGCAGCCTGCTCCAAAGCTAGCATCCACAGCAACATGCTCAGCATCTAAAGCTGGGAATGAACAAAATGGGAGGTGTTCAGAGTGATGCCATTTTACCTCCCAAGTAATCATTACACATGAGGTAGCTCTGCCTTCTTAAGGATGGCTGCATTGCCTGCCCATGGGAAGTGGTGAATGAATTCCTTGTTTCACTTTCTTTGCATGCACGGCTTTTGCTTTACCTATTAAACTGCTTTAGTCCCAACCCTTGAGTTTTCTCCCTTTTACATTCCCAGTTCTCTTCCTTGGCTGTGTGGGGCATAGTTGCGGGCTGGGGTTAAACCATGGCAATTATTTCTAGCTGCTGGGACTAACGTAGAATGAGTTTGTCTTCATCTGAGGTAGGAATAACCCAGTTTTCCTCCACACATTTTTATTTGCACTACAGGAATTCTCTCCCCTTCCACAGTACGTAAATTTTTGACCGGTCAGGGCCAGTCTGATTGGCAGATTCCTTAGTATTCACTAACCAGGTGGCCTTCACCAAATGCTAAATGCCAGTATTTGAAGATCCCACCACCCATTGCTCTCAGTGTAGTCTTTAGCAGTCCATTACATGGTTTGATTTTTCCAGAGGCCGGTGCACGATAGGGAATGTGATACACCCACTCAAATGCCCTGTTCTTTGGCCCAAGCGTCTATAAGATTGTTTAGGAAATGAGTTCCAATGATTCATTTATTTCTGGAGTATTCTGTCCCATAAGACTTGCTTGTCAAGGCCAGGATGGGCTGTGGCATGAGGCACAGGGTATGTTTCCAGCCATCTGGTGGTTGCTGCCACCATTTTAAGCACAGAGCTCTTGCTGTCACAGGTTTGCAGGAGCATGATACAGTCAATCTTCTACACATCATCATACTTACATTTCAGTCTTTGTCCTCTGCACCAAAGAGGTTTTAACATCCTGGCTTGCTTAATTGCAGTGCATTTTTCACATCCATGGATAATGTCTACGGTTAAGTCCACTCCTCAGTCATGAGCCCACCAATATGCTGCATCTCTTCCTTTATGTCCTGAGGTGTAAAGGACTGAGATAGTAATAATTCATATTTATGTTGCCAATCCAAATCCACCTGAGCCACTCCAGTCTTGGCAGCTGCTGGTTGTTCTTATGTACTTCAGTGCCCTGGCTCTTGGGTACATGAGCATCTACATGACGTACCTGCACAACCAGATTCTCCACACAGGCAGCAATATTTTACCACAATGTGTCAGTCCAGATGGACTTAGCCCTATGGTGCCAGTTATTCTACTTCCATTGCTACAGCCAGGCACACAGGATACTTGCTAACGTCCAGAAATCAGTATGAAATGTTGACCAGCTTCCCTATTCAACAGCACCTAAAGCCAACTGGATGGCTTTGACCTCTGCAAATTGACTCGATTCACCTTCTCCTTCAGTAGTTTCTGTGGCTTGTAGTCGGGGACTCCATACAGTGGCTTTCCATATCTGATGCCTTCCCATAGGATGGCTGGACTCAGCAGTAAACAAGGCATATTGCTTCTCACATTCTGCTTATTTATTATATAGTGGGGTATTATCAGCATGTGCTCCTTCCTCTTCAGGTGACATTCCAAAGTCTTTGCCTTCTGGCCAGTCCCATGATCACATCCAAGATTCCTGGATGACTGGGGTTTCTTATTTGAACTCATTATGTTATCAGTGTGACCCACTTACTCCATGTAGCATTTGTTGCATGATGTGCAGAGGAAAGCTTCCCTTAGAACATTCAATCCAACACAGGTAATCAGGATGCCAGGAGAAGCACCTAAAAATCTGGATCTCCTGTGCAGGTCCCTTCACTATATTTTGTTTTACAGCAAAATTTTCTTTCAAAAGGATTTGGACTATTTTCTTCCCTTCCTCAAAAACTTTTTTTGCTGTATTGTCCTATACAATGGTATCATCAGTGCAGGTGTTTTGGAGCTTCACTGTGTTCCAGTGAGTTTGGATCCATCCATGGCAGTAGGACTTTGTTCCCACCCTGGGGCAATTGATTTCAGGTGTACAATCATCCCTCCAAGTGGAAGCAAAGTGTGCCACTCTGCCAGCAAAGGGACTGAGGAAAAGATATTAGCTGTTTCAAGTATGATACAGCACTTGGCTGCCTTTGACTGCAGTCCACATGGAAATTCAGCATGTCTGGTCCAGTGGCACTGAGCAATGGCACCAGAATGACTTCATTCATAAAATTCCCTGCTAATTTTTCTACAAGTGGACAAGAACTTCTTTCCATAGAGTCAGTAGTATAACCAACTCTTCCATTCTGCTAGGAAGGGCTCACTGTTGTGCATGAGATTCCTCTAAATCAGAGCAAAGTCTATATTTTCAAAGGGAAATTTAAAATTTTATTTAAAGAAAGCTGGCACATATTGATTTATATCCAGTGGCATCCATCTTCATGTATGGAATATATGTAATTATTTCACTTAATTTCTTCAGTAAGAAACATTTTCTGCATAATTTTTATAGCTTTTTTTCCAGTTTAGTATTTTTTCTTTTTTTTTCAAGGGAGCATATAAAAAGATACTGCTAGATTTATTCTTGTATCTTGTAAGTGAATCCAGAGAAAAAAAAAATGCCAGGTAAGTACAGCCACCTCTGCAGAATGGCCTATGCTATGACAAAGTTAAATGTACTGTGACTTCTACAGCCATAAAATGGGCAACAACAGAATTTGGGTAAGTCATCAGAGTATGAAATTTCAGCCAAACCCTACCCTTCTGTAGGGTTTTGCATTTGCTATCTTCATCAGATGTCCTCAGGATTTTTTTTCACTCAACAGCAAACATGAATATCTAATGTTCTAAAATAAAAGCACTTGTCTAACATCTGTTAACAAGGAAAGGGGACCAATGCTTATTTACCGGTGGGAAGCTACACCATGACAATACACTTACACCTGTGTTGTGGTTTAAAACACTAGCTTTCTACTTACTTTTTTCCTAAATGCCAAACCATGATAACCTTTAAAGAACTAACAGTTCTTGTTTCAAGAACTAACAGCCGAAGTAAAACATTTGAGAATGATTGATTTTATTCACACGTTGGATTATTAAAAAAAAAACAGAAAACAAACCAAGAATGATGCTATGGTAATACATCTTTTAAATCCTTTAAGTGAATTAAGTTCTAGGAATTCTGTCATTTGAGATCTAAATGCATTCTGGTATTTTCTATTAGCAGGATAAATGTAAGCAAACAAATCAAAACATTTTGATGTTAGTGTCTTGCATCTGATATTATTTTGTGTAAACCTTTGAGGCACTGCTTTGTTTTCTGCAGTATATTCAGAAAGTACACATTTTGGTGTTTATGGAAGAAAGTCAAGTTTCAATACTTTTATGCCTTTTAAACAATGCACCACTGGCTAACAAGGGTTTCTCAATAAATGTTAGAACAATGGAGAAATAGCCTAAATTTTATTTGCACAATTACATTACCAGATAATAACTTTATAATCAAGCATTTCTTTCAGCTGAAATATGGGAGCCGAGTGGGTATGTAAAGCTTCCTCTTTGAATGCCTTTTCCACATCAACCTGATAGTCTAACTGAAGAGTAAAAGCAATTTAAGTGTTTCTGCATTAGGAGGACTCCATACACAAGATTCCACATTCTTCTTGTGTTTCAAATCTATTTTTATTGCCTCCACAGCCCCCATACCAGAACTGACCACACATTTTCTGCTCTTTGTTGTAGTACCACTTCAAAATGTAATTCTGACATTCTCCACTATCTTGAACAAGGTCACATGCATCTGGAAAAGGGAAATAAGAGACAGATTTAATGAAAGAAAAATCCACCCTTCTCAGCATCGTAAATTCAGGGGAAAATAACATTCAATACAAACTGTCAGACAAAAGGAGTAGCCAGTGTTCAAGGTCTTACAGAGATTCACTAAGTATTGATCTATAACCTCACAGTGCCCGTGTGAAGACCCTCTTTTTATGACTGCTTTAGCCAGAAGGAACGTCTGAAACAACTAGATTTTCATTACCATAAACAGGACTGCTAAAAGGTGTTTAGTTTTCTAACATAAAATTTTTATTAAAATGATTGTAAAATGACTATACCTAGTCCATAGGGACTCGGAAAATAAACTTTTTAATAATTCCCCTCTTCTTTATTCCAACTTCTTATACTGGTATCCATCAATAAAATTTCATAAATTAGTGTAGATAGGTTGCTAAACTATCCATGGTAGTCTCTTAGCCAAATCCAAGAGCATTACAGATTTAAATTGCATAAATTAGCAAAGTAGGTGAGAGAAGCATACTTAGTAGCAATCTGGTATTCAGTAAGAACAGATCTAATCTTCTATCACCAATGTCAATTCAGAGTTATTCAAAAGGAGACAGAAAGGCAGCTCTAGACTTGGTGTCAGTACAGCATTTAAGAGGAAGAACTGAGAAATAAAGAAATATAATGATACAGCTTAAAGATATAAAATTACATTACCTAATTAACTGGAAAGCAAAAGTTTCAAGCAAGAGATGAGCACAAAGTAAATCTCTCAAAAGGCAAATTCTAGAACTGGGCTACATGTTTTTAGAAGTAAACTGCTGGGTCACTACTTACAATACAGGATTGGGGAAGGCAGTTCATCCATCTCTCATGAGTGATTTAGGTAATTTCTCACTTAAGTGCAGTGACCATGACTACACCCTCAAATGAAATATTTTATTTTATTTTATTTTATTTATTTTAATTTGTAAAGTATAAACAGTAACGTATCTTCCTGTTACTGATCCTCTCTATCCTGAATGAAGCTAGCAGACATTTTCAGAACCATTCTTGAGTGAAGAGGGATGAAAAACAAAGATATGACAGCTGTAGAAATGAGCTACCATGACCAAAACTATGCAGACACATTTTCATTTATTTTCACATGAATTCTCTCAAATTGTAATTTAAACAATAAAAACACTCAATAGTGTTAAAAGAACGTTGGTGACAAATGATCTCATATTCAGCTTCCCATACGTATATCTAATGGCAAATCTGCAATGAAAAATGTATCACTAGGAAGCAGAATTAAAAACATGAAGAATATGTATTTTGATACCTCTGCTGATGGATCTTGTTCTTCCTACAGGAACAGACTGTAGCAAAGACATATTTAGTTCCTCCATGTTGAGCTAAATTAGCAGCAGGAGTAACTTACTAATTACAGTGCAACTTGGGAATTTTAAAATGATCAACTATTTTAGTAAGGGGGATTAGAACTTTATATGATATTATTACAAAAAGTTATAAATCAAAACTGAAGTTTTAATGACACCTGTAGTTCAGTCTTTAACTACTATATAGATTTGGACTGAATACTAGAATATGGTGACTAAAAGCTTTGGAAAAATGTAATTAGAAATCCTTCATCTTGTAAAAATATTCAGTTGAGTCCTTCAGAGTTTAGTCTTTTTAATGAATTAAAAAAGATTTTCATATTCTAGAATCATACCATAATCATTACAGGCACCACTAGTTTCTACTTCTGTCTCTAAGTTTTTCTTGTTCTTCTCCTGAGCTTTTTCACACTCTTGAGGCTTTTCCCTTTTAGCATTTTCCTCTGTGAAATACTCATCCTCCTCATAATCATCTCTCATTTCTGGCATTGTAGATACAGGTTCTTTGGTGTTCTCTTTCATACTCTTCTTGATTCTACTTTCATTTTTTCCCATGTCTTCTAAAACTTGATTGGAACCACTTTCAGACATTCCAGGAAAAGGTATCCTTCCAAGGAGAGGAGGGAAAAATATTTAAGCACCAGTATGACCTTAGAAAACGCATCTGGTTCATTCCTTCTGAAACACATGAAAAAAACTTTTGACCCCAATCCCATTTCTGTCATAAATACTTTCAATGTAACAACTAACCCAAAGGGATAAATCCTACATTCTGAGTTACGCACTCAAAAAGTTAAACAGGCAATTTCCAACCTTTCATTCATGGATGCTTCCTGATGTATGTCTCCCCGATCCAAGTTTTCACACTCTTCTTGTAGCTCAGGTGAAGGATAACTGTTAATTTCTTCTGTGAGAAAGCACAGGTAGCAGGGGTGAGTTTTAAAGTCCTCAAAACATCAGTATGGTTAATAAAACCCACTACATAGCTGTTTTTGTGAACTGGAATTTGCATCTTTCAATAAGTAACACACTATACCCAGAGTGACTGACACTATGCCCAGAAAAATGAAAATTATTATAGAGATCAGATAGATGAGAATGATGCCTCAACCAACATTTTATTCTTTTGTCTTGCTCTTTAATACATTAAACTATAGAAACTTCGACATCTCCAAGCATATGCTTCTGAGGAGGATTTTAACTAAGTGGCAATTTCCTTTTGGATATTCTCTTGCTTCCATGTCAAAGCATTTAAGACCTGCTAATCTGCATTAATGTGTCTTGAAAAGTAAATTATGTCTCTACTCTGTAGAGAGGTTAAGGTGAAATGTGCAAAATATTTATCTTGTACCTGTCCCAAAGCCTAAACAGGCATAAATACAGCTCAGTAGATCTGGACTTGCCAATGGTCTGAGGAGAAATGTGAGCCTAAATCAGGAATATGATAGTGTTCTCTTAGCTGAAGAATGGTCTGTCTTTAGTGCAAGTGGAGTACTAAAGCCACATATTAAATAAAAACTTAAGGGGAAAAGACTACTTAAGACTAGAATAGAATGTTGTTCTGTCATTACTGGCACTTTTATTAATGTCCAGCATCTGAGGTAAACTAATCATGAAAGATCAGCAGCAAAGTTATGACCAGGAACTGAATGATAGCACATATATACTGACTACCTTTTTCTACACAGCATTAGTCTTTCTTTCCACAGCTGAGGCAAATGCCTCTGTGTGATACTTACGTTGTAGGAGATTTAGGAATGCCTGGCTAAACCTCTGAGCATACACCATCTCCGGTGTGGAAACCCTGCCTAGTGTCAGTGAGTGCTGGTCTGTGGGGGAGCTTGACAGCTCCATCAACTGACTGTCACTCACACCGCTGCCAAGTGCAAGAGCGAACAAGGTGAATCCTTGGCACTTGGCTCCTAGTGAAATCTCTCTCAGCCTTTCTCTGTCCCACGTGCTTGTTTTGCTTCCGACTATTGTAAATATCACCCTGTGTTTTCTTTGTCTAGGGGCTTTAAAGAATACGTTTTCAACTGTCCACTGTAGAGCAGAAGCAATGGCTGATGGCCCTTCCAGCTGGTGAACAGACTCTTGGATGTGTTTCTTCATCAAATCTTTATTGCTGTATGTGACTAGGTCAAACTCCAAGGCCACAGGTGTTTGGTTTCTGTCAGGCAGGAAGCTCCTGGGAGCCTGCTGCACCAATGCCACTCTGATGCCTCCATATGACTCATTTGGCTGTGAGGAAATGACAAATTGATCCAACATGTTGCTCACAAAGTCTTTGGCTCTCTGAAATTCTTCACTGTTAATGCTGCAAGAGCTCTCCATGATGTATGTTATATCCATATCCATCTGAACCAGGGGAGAAAAAGGCACCTCACAGTTGGTTCTTGGGTTGCATTTATCTAGAGAGGAAGAGCCAATAGGCAATGAACTATTTATCAATACAATAAAATCAATTATTTATAAAAATTTCACACAGTCCTGTAGATCTGTATTAGGTTTGTACGGCCAGGTTTTGGTAGCGGGGGGCACTACAGGGGTGGCTTCTGTAAAAATCTGATGGAAGCTTCCTCCATGTCCAGCAGAACTAATACCAGCTAGCTCCAAGAAGTCTCAATGTGTGTGTGTCCCACCAACAACTGGATGGTAAGGTACATTGAATCCTAAGTTATATTATTTCTTTACTAGCTGTAACATTAATAGGTACCTTCAACCTCATGCTGTATGAGTAATTTCTCTTTTTGTCCTTCTTCCTGTGTAGTTTAAGTCTTACGTCTGTTAGTTTTCTGTCTGTTAAGTAAATAATTCATTCTATAATAGACTGAATCAGCCCTTATTAAAGAACTTGTGAATTAGAGTGGGTTTTGGGGTGCTGGCCACCTCAATAAAGCTATTACAGAGGCCTGGGCAAAAGGCAAGGACTCTTCTAAATTCCTACTTCCACTTGTAACAGGAGATTGAAATCTTTTTGTTCTAGTAAGGAACAATAGATGAGTCTTGCTGAAGAAGGTTTTGAGATACCACGGGAAATTATTCATGCATGAGAGCAGAAAAAAATCATAAAGTAAAATTTCATAGATAAGAGTTCCCTGGAGAAATTGTCTTCTGTTGAAATCCAAACATTGTAAAGGACCCAGAATCAAAATCTATTTTTTCATCTCAGATCATTGTTCAACATTTTGACATATTATAATTTAGTAGCTTCTCCCCCTCTCACAGTGTAGAATTTACAGCAAATGAGCCTGGTTTCCAAAAATCATATTGCTATTTTAAGTGTGTTTCTGTTAAAAGGGAAATGCTAAACACAATAATTAATTTCACATAGCTGAGACAGAAATTAATTAAACAGCTTCTATGATTTTGAGATTCTAATTCTTACCATCCACTGAAGAGGAAGTTAAAATTGTAACTCCTCAGCAGTGGTATTCTGTAACCACAAAATGATCTGTCACAGAGGGCAAGAAGGCCCAGTTGCAGAACGGTTCAACTGGCTGGAATGTCAGAGACAGAAAAATAAGTAAAGTTTCCACTGCAAACTTCCACTCTTTCTCTTGGAAATTATAAGAAACATCCACAACACTTTCTTGAAGCAATCCTGGAATGGGAACACTCAGACATCCCTATGGGCCGCAGAGTTGGGCCGAGTTGCTCCACACAACCATCCATACAGTTCTTAACACGTTTCTGCAAATTCCTTGTAGAACAATTTATGGCAGAAGGATTCTGACCAGTGCATTGTTCACTAATATTTTTCTTTTATATTTAAGCACAGACGTGTTTAAGGTGTATCATAAAAATCCCCCAGCACCACATTACAAAAAAAAAAAAAGCTATAGAATTTGTTATTGAAATGGTAAACAGACCAATACAACAGATGCAATTCGTAAAATGTCTTACCAAAGCAAAGTGTACAATATGTGATGCCCTCCAAATTTTCATCCTGTTGACTTTCCCAGACAAATAATTTAAATCTTCTTGTGTCATCAATCTGTGTTTTAAAGCAGACACAAAAGGAACATTAAGAAGACATTAAGAAAAAATATATGAAGACTTTATATTTTTTCCTTTTTTTTTTTTTTGCCAGGGAAGGATTATCACTTTTTTCTTTTATTAATGGGGTGCTGTTTTTCTAAACAGAAAATGGCCAGATATCTCAGCTGTTTCTGGGACAAAGAGTGAAGGTGATTTCTTGGGGGAGAAAATTCTAGCATTAGAAAGTTTTAGCTTGAGAGAAACCTATGTGCTTCCTGAGATCATCTGAAGAAAGACAATTTTTCACAGAGGAAGATTTGACCACAGAAATGCTCGAGGAACTCTGAAGATGCTCCAACATTCTACAATTTCATTGACCACCACCCAACCCCTTCCAGATGTGATCCAATGGAAAAGTATTTCTTTGTGGACTAAGATAAATAAAAATGTCTCTAAAATATCACAGCATTACAGGAAATTAACATATATGAATAAGCTATAATGGTAAGCAAAGAAATAATTACTTCTTTGCATTAAACTTTGGCTTTGTGTGTTATACACCACACAATAAATTTCTGATTAACATCTGTAAAGAAAGTTACAGATAGAACTCTACAAAGGAATTAGAATTGTCAATGACTGTGTGTGGTCTCTAAACTGAAGCTCCTAAAGCAAAGTAAAGCCAGCAAGTATCTGGGGCTACAGACTGGTAGGATCATAAAGATTACACCATCTCTCAATGGCAAGGGTAGAAGTCCATCTGAAAGGAAAAGGGAAGTTGTATTTACTTGGGGGAGGTGGTGACGTTCATTGCGTTGCCATCACTGTAAATTTAAAGGAATGCTGGGCAGTGAATTTTTTGCCTTATCCCCTGCTAAGCAGATCTTTAAAATTTTTCTGCTCTGAAGACTGATTTATGTAAAGTCACCAGATGTCATCACATGCATTCAGAGTTTTAATCTCATTATACTAAGTAAAGAAAATACTGATTCTTGCTCCTGTTCATTCTGTAGAACCCCCCAGGCAATAAACCATAAGTTTTCTTGTCATATATCAGTAGAATTTTTTTACTCTGCTAAATTATCATTCAGACAGAAAAATACACGAATCAACTAATAAATATGAGGCTGCATAAGAATAAATATTGTATAAATAATAAAAGACTGACTTATATGTTGCTAGATCAGAACTCAGACTCCAAGTTTTGCACTTTTTGTCATGTACAAGTGAGCATATTTCCTTTTAGAAGGAAAGTTTTGAGGAAACAGCAGCTGAAAAGAATTTTGTTTTGAAAAAGTTGAAACTGAGCACAGATGACATTAAATTGAAAAGACAGAGAACATGCAATCTATATTATGAAACCTTAAATAAATGTAGAATTGCTTTCCTTTTGTACCTTGTAAAATGCACAGTTTATTTTTGTTTACTATCTTTTAGATGAAGTAACATTTTAAAACAAAATTTCATAATTTTTTCCTGTACAAATGGCAATAAAGATGCCAAAAGTGGCTTTGCTAATTTAATTTTCTTTTGAAAAAACTAGCGTGCTTGAAGTGTTCTAATTTTTCTAGAAACTAGGACCAGAGTTTGTTAGTTTGTTAGTTAAATAATGTCACATATCACAACTTCAAAATTATAATAGCATAGGTAAATAAGTGAAATGAACACAACATTATGGAAATTCTCTGATTCTCCCTAAAAGCACAAGTGATTAATAATTCATGTTCAGAAAAAGGTCAGATGGTGATTACTATGGTCAAGTGAATCACTGCTTCTTTGTTAAAATAGTAACCTTTAGTGTACCCCTTTCTAGCAAGGGATTGGACAATTCCTGTGGAATTTAGGCTTGAGAACTGGATTCACTCAAATCCTAGCAGATGCTCAGCAAGTGGGTGATTGACTCAGTTTTCAATAGGCTGTCTACTTACAGAGAAGGCACGTCTGACATTTGGCACTTCACTGAAGGCAATAACCACTGGAGTGATATCCAAAGCACTCAACTCAAGCACAGCAGTACTGATGGCAACATCATCCTGCGACGGACCATTGGCAAAAAATAGGGCAACTTTTCTTGTGAGGATGCCCTGACGAACACGTTTGAAGACATTTCTTGCAACAAATCTCATGGCTGCCCCAATATTTCGTTTTCCACTGGATCTCTCTAGCGGGATTCTCTGGACTGCTTGTAGCAGCAAGTTGTTTTTTTGAAATTCAGAGAATCGAATGAGGTAGTGCATGTTGGTATTGAAAGAAATAACAGAGACACGAGCTCCTGTTGGGCAATTGCTTTCACTGATCTTAATGGTCTTCAGCAATAACGTAACAATGCTCCTCATTCTTTCAAATGCAGCTGGTGTAACATCGTCAGACATATCCAAGGCAAAAACCACTTCAGTTGGATAAGCTGGGCATGTGTCTGTATATCAAAGCAGAAAAGTTGTGTGAGAACCTCTACACAACTCAAACATTGTTAGTTTTTTCAAGTCTATCAAAGAATGGATGTGCAGAGATCAGATAGGCTTACCTGATGAGCATGCTGGAAGGAAGAGAGGGAGAGGAATTAAATTATTTTAAACTCACATGCAATAAAATAGTGACATATTCACTAGCTTTCAATGAACAGCCTGGCTCAAAGTTCAGACAACTGACAGTCTGTCAGTGCAAGACCACATTCCTCTTTTACAATCAAATACTCAAAACAGTGCAATTTTACTGGGTAAGAATTTTTGAATTTGTCCTGGGTTCTGCTGAGCACATAACTGAGAATGAACACACCTAATATGGGGGATAGCTGATACACAAAACTGTCTTTTCTCAGAGAACTTCCCAAAGGGTGTTGGCACAATGCCAAAGTTTCATTTAATCTTTAATGAGGAAGAGGTATTTGTTATGATTTTTGTAATAAACAGATAGGAAAAATGAGCAAAAAGCATAAGTCTGCTTCATACACCTGCTGAAACCCCCTCACAATTAACAACTACCAGTCAAAATGAACCCAGATACAAACTACCAGTTTATAGGGTTTCCTATGAAGGCTATTCCATTTAGGAGGAGTGACTAGGTGAAATCAGAGGTAAAAGAAGATGTTCCCCACTTACGGCAGTTTTTTCGGGTGAAATTCACAAGTTCACAAGGCTGCAGGTTCAAAACAAAAAAAAAAAGGAAAAAATGGAAAATCCCAGACCACCCCAAACTGGGAATCTTACTGTTAGTTTGAGCTGAAGGTTGTATCCCAGCTCCTAAAATAACTTTCATTACAGTAAATCCAGAATCACATGGTCCAGTTCCTTTTTATAACAGATAATACAGGGACTCTGTTCCCTTGCTGCAGAAACTAGGCACATTTTTTAGACATGCTCTGTTGCCACTTAATGATGTTCTGAAGTATTAAGAAATCATTCCATTCTTTATGAATGAGTGCCATCCATTCTTTATTTTGTGAAATAAACTGATCTAAGATGTCACCAGTCAATGGGCATTCCAATAGTGACTCAGATAGGAAGTGAGAAGTCCATGAAGGAGAGGATGCCCTCTGGACATAGAACACACCTGCAATAGTACTGCCTGCAGGTAGTCATCCTTGCAAAAATTAACAAAACCTTTACTCAGAAGTATTAATTTTCCATGTGACTAGGATTATTAAGAAATCCTGCACTTCCATTCCCAGTGAAAATAACTGTTGCTGAAGAAATGCCTTCCTTTACAAGAGGGGAAAAAGTAACCCTGCCATGAGCTGGTGTGTAAACTGATAGGAGCAAAGAAACAGATAAATGAATATTAATTGTCCAACAGTTTGTAAAAGTTTGGACATGGTGTTAATCCACATGCACAAATGTTTCTCATTCCTTGGTTGCTTGCAGAACAGAAGAACCCACTGCACACTCTGACTAGCACATGGAAAAGATACTACTTTATAACAGCTACTTGTGCTCCTTGCTGTCAGTGATTATCAATGGATATTAAACCAGATAATTCTACACAGTATAGTTAGCTGTAAGGTGACTACTTACTTCCATTAAAATGGTGCCCACTGGTCCCTTGGCACCCTGTAACAAATTAAACACAGGTCCAAAAAATCAGACCCCGATAATGTATTTCCATGTATTACTCTGTAGCCCAAAGAAAATGCAGGCAAACAGTGTTTCCCAGCAGTAATTTATGAATTTGTGAGGAGACAGCAGTTCCCAGCATAGATATCTCTGGACCTGCTCAGAGTTGCAGGCTAGTCATCAAATTTATTTCTCTGTCCATTTTCCTTAATGGGTTTTAAATGTTCAATACTTGTTGCCCTTGAGGAGGAGTATAATTCAGAATTGGGTTCCTTTATAAACAGCAGTTTCTGTCCTATGGTTCTGCTATTTATTTGCACTTCACACACTTTCCAACATCTGGTGTGTGACAAGCTTTCCCTCTCCTCTTGCACAGTACAATCCCCACAGTTCTACCTTGAAAGATCCTGCAGACCACACACATATCATGACACCTTTGCCTACTCTGCGACATTTTCCTTGGGAGCTATGGAAAAAACAACACTCCAAGCATCTTTTTTTTTTTCAAAATAAAACTATCGCTTAATCTTTATAACAGGAATGAAATACAGCAAGGATAACTAATTTTCAAGGGAGCTTGAGTATCCATCATGTGTGCATTTCAGATGCATAAGAAGACTACTGATAATTTTCCCCTACTCCCAGGGAGCTACAGTGAGATACACCAGAAAAACTTGAACTTGAACATCCCACTTATTTTACTCACACTCTCTCTACCATAACACTACAGTTTACCAAAATTATATACTTCCTTATGTTCTCCAGATTACAGCCCTGTCTCCATATTTATTCTTTCCCATTTCAGTTAACCTTCCATTCCTCCATCTGCCTGAGCTACCTTCCTCACCTCCTCTGCTGTCTTGCTACTAGCACCATCACTGCCATTCCATGCTTGCTTTCTTCTTATGTTTCCTAGCAGGTCCATGTTCTTCTTTGGTACTGTTCAGCAAGTTAATTTTGAATTGCCTGGGTCCTAAAGAATGCTACCTACAGCAGCTAAGCAGTGGTGACTGAGCTGTGCAGACTTGACACATGGATAATCAAATCACCAAGGATGGGTAAAACAAGCCTGTTTTGACTGGCCTTGCCTACTACCCCTCCTGCATTCCTATTCTCATTCTCTTCCACTTCTTACAGGGTTCCCACTTTCTCACTTCACTGATGCACTTCTACAGCAATAATCCCTCCAAGCCCATACACCTCAAGCTCTACTTTCACTTGAAGAGGAGATCTTGAACTTGAAATACCTCTGAAGACTTCCTGGACCATGGACTGACAAGGCCTACAGCTGTGGCTCATCAACTCACAAGAGCAATCTATAAATTTTGTAAGTGGCCAAGCAGCAGAAAGGGAAATGTACTGCAGCTGGCACTCTTACCATTCTTTTGCCCAGCATAATAGAAGAAATTAGGATGGGTACATTCATTAATCAATACAATGTAATGAGAAGGGAAAAAATGCTTCCTAAGTTGCACACATCCAGAAAATTTCTGACAGTAGGGATTGTTTCTGGTCACTAGGGAGCTAATTTTCAGAATTACCACAGGATAGACACACATGGGGATTCTCCTAACTACCTAAAGGTTTAGTCATAAATCCTATTGAAACCCACAATTCTTTAAGAAAACATTTTGTTGCATAAAATGCAGAACACTGGAAATGTACATCAAGACATCTACTTGTATTACGGATTAATGGGTTATAGTCAATTTAAGCTTTAAATAAGTGCCTGTCACTGCAAGTTTGATTTTAAATGGCTTTTCTTCTTAAATTAAAAAAAATGCATTGGCTTTCAGCAGATCTATTCAGTTCTATATTTTAGTATTCTCTGCTCTTTTCATTAGATATGCATGCAGCCTAAAGACCATACCAAATACTGTGGAAGAAATTCTGACTGGCATTGTATTGTTGCAGTTCCATTTCCAGTAGCAGGTGCTCCTGCCCGTACACATCTACAGGGAAGACGTAACTCTGTGCAGCTGCCAGGCTGATTAAGCATAGTTTATTATGCAAAAGACTATTAGATATTCCATTAATGTAATAGTAATTTGAAGAACTATTTAGGGTGATTTTTTTAAAAAAAAATATTTAAAAAAGAAAATTACCATAGGTCCTGATGGTCCTTGGTCACCTGGATCTCCCAGGGAACCTGGTGTTCCAGAATTACCCTAAAAATAGAAATACAAGTTTTATTCTTTATAGTTGCATGCACTGGTACCAAATTTCATCAGGGAAAAAAACTGTAATGATACTTTGAGTTGGATCTGTATTTCAGCAACTAACACTTCTGAAGATTTAGAGCTGCACTTTCTCAAGACTTCTTTCACAAATTATGGCTATAAAAGATCAGAGTGGTAACCAATTTGAAAACTTTTGATAAGAAACACTTTGGGTGCAAGGGTTTTACTTTTAGAATTATCACAGAGTTAGCAGATTTATCATTCTTACTCTTCTACCCCTAATTCCTTTGGGTCCTTCCCCTCCTGGAATGCCCTGATCTCCTTCTTCTCCCTGAAAATAAATGAAATCCAGAATTTATTGGAAAGGAGAAGACAGACAGAAACACAGGTAACCTCTTCCAAATAAGAATAGTGTAAAGCAAGACAAAAAGAAAGTGATCATGCCCATTTAGTTATACCTCTGGACCAGGATATCCTATGAATCCAGATTCTCCCTATGAAAAGAAAGGACAAAGACTTCATAAGAATCTAGAACTTTGCGATCTGCTTAGTGGTGGATGTCTTAAAACCAAAAACAATTTCAAATTTTTTCTCAGCTTTACAACTCATTCAAGCAACTAGCAATTACTGGCAAGTAGCTGCTAGTAGTGTCTGCTACTCTTGTCTCAAATGACACCACTTTAGATTAATACCTTACTCATCTAAAGGAAGAGCATTTTAAGAATTTCCACCAGTTTCTAAATTTTCAAGAATATTCCATTTCTCAAGTAAGTGTTTTATCAAAACTTATTCATGCCTCCTAATAGCACGCAGAGGAATTCCCATGTAGCATGTGAATTCAGATTCAGAACTCAGTGTTTGAATGTAGTTACAAAATTTTACACCACCCAGACTAAAAAATAATACCATATATTTTCTTGGCTTACTAGAGGTCAATTCATCAACTGTTTTCAGTTACTTCCATTTTTAGTGTGTTCTTTGTTTACCCACAGGAAATATGGAAACTCTCACAAAAACCAATCAGAAATGTTCTTTCCTAAATATCGGAATTCACTCTACTTATATATGTTCTTGTCCTCTTGCATATAACGTATGTGTAACCTATGAAAACCTGCAATTGAAGAAAATTATTAGAGCTAAGAAGTTAAGAAAAGAGATTGGGAAATAAGAAGTATCAAGAGCCATTTTACAAAAAAGCTATTTAAGAAAAAGGAGTTCATCTATTGGAGAGGCTCCTAGAAAGCCTTTCATAGCTTTTCTGCAGCTTTCTGCAGCACTCTGGTTCCCCTACAGAAAGGGAGAGTGAAACAGATGGGCTTATCAGTGAGATTCACTGGACCCTTTTTGTTTCACAAGCAACAAGAAAGGACTAGTGTGGCAATACTGCGCAAACTCTGAAAGGAGAACTGAAGCTGTTTCCAACATTCTGACCACTTTACTCATGGGCTGATTAACTGGTGCCATGATTTTGACCTCATACTTTCTGTATACTTTTTATTTAAGCTGAATTTTTGCACAATTTTAGAGAAGAAGGCATTTCATTACTGTTTTTTTTCAGCATTGTGAAGGGAATGATAAGAACTTCTTAGCAATCCAGAGGTTAATCCTCAGATCTTACTGCTGACTGCAGGAGTACAAGAAAAAAATATTTCACATGAGAACAGTGAGGATGTTTGGAGAGTATTACCCCCATGTTAGTAGCTAGGGAATCTCTCCTCTGAAACAAGAAAAATTAAAAGAGCCCATAGTGGCTAGCCCACCAGTACCTGCCAATAACAATGTTCAGTCAGGTGGGCTGAAGTGGGAAGAAAGCGTTGCGTACTACAAGAACAATACACCACATGTGTATACATGCATCAGGGAAAGAGTAAGACTGAGTGGTCCTCAAAAGAGTATCCTATGGAAGGATGTCTCACAAGGATTGTGGTAGGCCTGAGCCTCTCACTGAACCTTAGAAATGCACTTTGTATGTCTTACATTTCTTTTTAATCTAATATGGATGGTCATGATTGATAACACAGTAGAATGGAGTCTGAGAGTCTCTCTGACATGAAGCACATACCTTTGCTCCTTTGCTTCCTTCAGGACCATAGGCGTCTCTGCCATCCATGCCCTGTGTAGGTTAAATATATTGTGAGTTAGCTTTTAATAGAGGATATGGGTTATATCAATTTCATTTTGGAATAAAGATGTCCCATTACAATGAGGTGCCCAAGCTATTGAGACTGATGAAGCTGGACAAGTTATCAAAACACAATGTAAAACCACTAGCAAACTATGGCAAATACTGTAGAGGGAAAACAAGGATAGAGGTCACAGTTCCTTTCTACTGTGTGCCCTACCTTTATCATACTTTCTCTCTTCTAGAGAATTTGAGGGGAAAGATATTCCCTCTAGCCCACAAAAAATCAGGTGTCCATAAGGAAACTGAGAACCAAAGGTGAAATAATTTTAATTGTATGAAATAGAGAAAATAGAAGGGAATGAACATTACTGATTCAGATGGATAGATATTAAAATACAGGGGTCCTGAATTAGGGCAGGACTCACAGGAATGCCTCTCTGTCCAGGTGGTCCAGCTAAGCCCTTCTCTCCAGGGTCACCAGGTTCACCCTGTTACAATTGAAACACAAAAGCCTTAAGTTTGGTCATTCAGGAGAATTCTTCTTTCTGAAATGCAAACCTGTCTGTTAAACTGAAGTATGCCTATACATTTTAAGACTACTTAAATTAAAGTCTTAGATTAAAGTCTTACATACATTAAGACTACTTAATGCTGGGCAAAAGCATTCCATTACACACCGTGCTTCATGGACTGCTCCTGGTGGTAGAACTGGAAAGGACTTGGCAAATCAGAATATGCTGAGCATTCATGCAGCTGAACCCCAAAGGCTTTGTTCAATAAAACTCACATTGTAATAAAGAATTACAAGTGAAAAAAAAAATGTGGGCTTCGTTAAAAATTGTATTAGTGGTAGAAAGACATACTCTGGAATTTTACCAGCCAGAAGCACCTGTTGATAGCAAATGATATTTCTCAGGCAGGCTGTCTGTGCTGTGCTCTTAGCCCTCTTGCAAGGTTTTTTTCCTCAGTTCCATTTTTGTTTTCATTATCTAACTAAACATTCTTCTAACAAAGACCCTAATATTAAACAGCACAAAACCAGACTGACAATATGGAATGCATGATGGAAATTCCTGTAAATCTTCCCAATTTTTGTCACTGTTTTACACAGTGATTCTTTTCACGGCAGCACTTTGACCTTGTGATACCTCTCTGTCACTAAAGCTTACAACCCTTCAAAGACACAGAAAGGCTTAGCTGGCTGGTATTATTTGTGATTTTTAGATTCAAAGATGCAACAGCATTTAAACTTAGTTATTTTTATTAAATAAAATCTCACATACCAATACACATAAATAAAAGTCAATTAAGGATAACATTTATTATAAGTAAGTGAACTCTAATGTGAACAACCTGTTAGTATAAGCCTTTCTGTTTGACTTCATGTTTATTCAGTTCTTCTCAACATGTGCATTCCTCCAAAATAGACATCATAGCAGTCAAGGTTCCTTGGATTGGTTTGGAATCTTTAGAAAAACAAGGTTAAAATAAGCAGCTATGCTTCTTTGAACTAAGGAGGTCAGATTGGACATTAGGAAAAAGTTCTTCACCTAAGGGTGAAGTCACTGATCAAGTGCTGGTCACTGGAACAGGCTCCCCAGAAAAGAGGTCACAGCACAAAACCTGTCAGACTTCAAGCAGCATCTGAATGACGCTCTTCATGGTTTAGTTTTAAGTAGTCCTGCAAGAAGCAGGGAATTGGACTTGATGATCCTCGTGGATCCCTTCCAAGATGAGATATTCTGTGATTCACTGGTGAGTATTTTCAATGGGCTGGACAGACACTAGGAATCTTAAAATAAACTCAAGGGTCGGCACTGCCTTATTTCTGCTCCGTTTTGTGAGAAGCCAGGTCCCATTCAGAACCATTACCACAAGAGCAATTACAACAATGGTCATGGCAACTCTAAGCACTTCTTAGTATAGTTCTGATATGTGTAAGATTACCTCTTAAGGTAACCACTTGTTAAAACATCACTTGTCTTGCCATGCAAGCTAAAAATATCTTAAAAACCTAACATTCTACATATGTTTCACAGCACAGAACTAACTCTGTTAGTCCATGCTTCTTTGGTCGGTCTTAAATGAATGACACTGTTAGATTGCTGCAATTAGATACTCTGAAAATCTTTACCTTTGCTCCTCTTGCACCTAACTTTCCAACAGAGCCAGGTGAACCAGTTGTCCCCAGACTACCCTGCAATATGAAGTATCAATTAAAAGGTGCACAATGAAAAAATCAAGGGATCACTGCACTCAAAGATTCATTGCCATTTGAAATTACTACAGAATTGGTAAAAATATCGGGGTTTTGAGGACCACAAGTAAGAGTTACTGGTCAAGCTATATCATTCTACTTATTTCCTGTCATCTGTACAACTGCCATAAAATTCTCAAAATGTTATCAAGTATGACATAAATGTTATTTTCTATCTACATAGATGCCTAGTGAATACATGCATATGTGCACAAAAATATTAGTGTACATATATAATAGGTTATGTAAGCATGAGCATCATTACTTTAGAGAGATGACCAAGGCTGACAGCATAGGACATTCCAGTCCTGAGTTACAATGGTGTCATTTCAGAACAAGAATCCCCAAAATCAACAGCATCACAAAAGTGAGAAGTTCAGCAGACAGGTCTCAGTAGTTACAACCTCATCACACCCTAGCTCTTGCTATTCATGCACCTAGATTTATTTTCAAGGCTATTATTTCATCATACAAGACTACAAATCAGTTTTCTAAATATTACACCAAAAAGCCTTCAATTTCTAGTTTTTAAGATTTTTTTTATTAATATAAGAACAACATCAACACTGAGAATGAAAAGCCCTCATGGGTTCAGCTGGAATATATTATTTAAAGCTAACCAGAGGTCCTGGCATGCCTTGTGGTCCTGGAGGTCCTCTGATCCCTTGTTGTCCCCTTGGGCCCTGATGTAAAGAAACCATTGAAACAAAAAGTCAATTCAATGTTGACAGCTTTTCAATGACAATCATGTTGCTGCAATGACCTGAAACCCAGTTCCTGTTTCACAACCCTTATTTTACAGGTAAAACTTCTGGCTGCTCTGTTATAAGGATTTCCCTGTGTGAAGCACCTGAGATGGTCACTGCCTGCCAGCCTGATTCAGAGACCCACTGAGGTGTCTAAGATAACAAGGGAGCCATAAGCAGCCTACTATAAACTAGGCACACTGTCTCCATCCTAAAATGCAAAGTTAAAAGCATCTTTAGAGTATCTAAGAGCATCTTTAAACTAGAAGCTACTGTAAGAAGTCTACCATGATAATTCTCTTCAAAATTACTCCACCTAGCCATTTTTATAAACACAGAGCTTTTCCCATTGCTTTTATCAATGCAATAGATTTTATGTATTTACTGATAACAATTTCTAATTAATTAATTTTGAAGATTTCTGCTTGATAATATCATGTAAGTTGGAGGTGTGTTGACTAAATTACTTTTGCTAGTCATGTTCCTCTTTTAATTTCTCTAGAAGTTGCACCCATATAACTTGTCACATTTAATTCCTCAGGGTTACAGAAAAAAAATTCCAAGGAGTCTTACTCATAATAATCACTACTTGAAATTAACAAAGCTTTCCAAAATACAAACAAAACATCAAGGGTGACAATTTCTTTTCAACATAACTAACATAAAATCAACTCAGAAGTTATGTTAGTTACCTGTGGGCCTGGAAGACCAGTTTCTCCTGTGTAACCTGTTTCTCCCAGATGTCCTTGCTCACCCTGCCAGAACAAAACCCAAGAAAACAACGAACACAAACAAATTAGTATTTCTCATTTGTACATCAAAAGATAATAATTTTATATCTGTACAGGGTATCAGTTGATAGAATGCTTTTCAATGCACTCAAACAGTTTTCAAACAGCTTCAAATTCCTGTTGAAGAACACTCAAAAGCAGAAGAGTAGCTTTTCTTTTGTTTTCTAGGGGCTGTGATGAATATAAAAGCTGCAGCAGAAGAGGTCAGTTTTATTTTGCTGAATACTTCTTACTCTATGTCTCAGCCATAACTGTGCTTTACCCTTGTCCACTGTGAAGACCAGAAGTTATAAAGTCAGGTCACAGGGGCAGATCCTCTTTCCCCTTTTCCATGGGTAATGGCTTTGAGGGGGGATAATGACTTCACAATGGCACTAGAATTAGTCTCCTTTTTACTCCCCATCTTTCACTCTGGTTATTCAGTGAAGCAAATCAAATTTGCCTTGATGAAGGGAAAAAAAAAATAAAAAAAATTCCACCTCCCATTTCCATAAAGCTGCTATCTGAGGATGAGTCAGTTTAGTTGATGTCCACAAGAAATACTCACTGCCTTCTGGATTGAGTAAAATGGTGACAATTAGCATCAAGGTATTACAGGCCTTGCAGACCCCCTTTCACTGGAGAAATCATAAATATATGTCTGAAGATTCTTGGGAAACAGATGGTTCTAGAAAGAATCTTCTGAGGAAAAATGAATTTAAAAGGCTGAACTTTCATTCTGCACCATATGAATTAAACAAAATATAACAACAGAAAAAGAAAGAAAGAAAAAAAAAAGCCAAAAGCAAGAAACAATGTTAATTTATAGCCAGAGTAAGAACACTGTAAAATGGTACATCAGTAAGTATATGATATTGCCAGATGTAAAAAAAATCAAATAGAAATAGATTTCCACAAAAATCATTTTGACTATAATAAAAATGGATACATTTCTTATGCACACCCTACTAAAATCTAAAACCAAGTTAAAGTTTTCAGTTACGTACATTTACTTTGAATCAAACCCCAGAAAACTGGTTGTCCTTTTTTCTCTCCTGCCTTTTCCTCTCTCTCTTGCCTTCCTTTAAGTTAGTCTCCTTTCCCTCTTCACTATTTTGCTTTATTTCCAGCACATAGATTGCTGTTGTTCTTGTCTGTGACAAACACCTCTCTGATACCACACCTTCTATTCCTTCTGCCTGCTGACTACTTCTGACTGTTAAGAATGGCTAACTGTGCTTCTTTATGTTGTTTTTACTATTTGAAAAAATTAGTCTCCTTTTATCACAGAAAGGCACAGACAATTGGAACTACAAGTCTTGGGAGAAGTCCTTTTTAGGATATGGTGAACAGCAGTGTGTTCATGGGAAGTTAATGACTTTGTTGATAAGGGTGTTATTTCAGTGCCTTTTATTAACAGCTAAACCTGAAACAAGTCCTTTTGTGTTAGGTGGATGAAGTCTGGCTCACTGTCTCTAATTTGATTATTTGTCTCTGAGTACATTACTAACAATATCCCTCTTATCTACCTGAAAGAGGGATTCTTCTTTATCCCTGTTCAGCGCAAAGCCTTCCTCCTCTAGAGGGACTGGCCATATCTTATTCATCACATCCTATTTTCTTACAAAGCAGGATACTGTGGTCCACAGAAGGACCCTTGAAGGAGGACCCCACAAACATCAGGGGTAAATAGATCTGCTTCCTGGCCCAGGGACATCAGGAGAGCTTCAAAGTAAAGCTCTCATAAATTCTGCTGATAGAGTTATGCACTGTGGCAGCTTTGTAACACCCTGCCACACAAGAGATCTCAGTGGAAGGACACAACACTCACAATCTCACCCAATGATGGATGCCACTGTTGTATTGCAGGGTTTTCTATTCCATCTTGTTTCACCAGGGGATGTGGAAGACAGAAGTTCAGTTACAATTCTCTTTGCCATTCACTTTTTACGCCTTTTCAGTGAAGGATATCTACATTACCTGTGTTTGATCACTGATTGGTACCTACCTTTCAATGCTCACTGACCCAGAAAAATTTTTTTATTTGCTTCTAGAAGTCTAAGCTGATCATCAAGTACTTGAATGAAAACAGTTTGAAAGTTCTCTGTTGCTGCGAGTTTCAGTCATTTCTCTTGTTCCCTGCCATTTTACAAAAGGGTGGCCTCATCACTGGCTGAGGGGGGTCTCCATGGACATAAAGAGGGCTGTCTCAACTAAGGTTCAATTAGTTGAAAAGGTTCAGCTAACTCTGTACTCTGTGAATTTACTAAACAAGTTGAACATTCTTATTTTCTAATCACATAAGAGTTCTTGTGCTTGTTAGTACAACCAAGATACAGTACAGATCCATTTCCACGGACTTCAGTTTTGGTCCTGTTACCACTGCTAAGCCCATAGCTTAGTTGGATTATTTCTTAGTGTTGGTACCTGACAGAATAATGCAAACATTCGTGAGATACCAGCAATCCAACAGGGAAAAGAAAAAAAAAAGCACAAAGTTTCATAATTATCTAAGAAATTAATTTCCAATCAAGTGATTATCACGCAAGGATTGGAATAATTAAGTTGCAAACTTGATGAATATTCTTCAATATTTTAATCTAAAATATCTTTATAAACCTTATAAAGAATTTCTGAGATAGAAATAGGAAACAGTTGCAAAATGCAATTCTTTCAAGTTATGCTGATCCTGGCAATAGCCAAAGCATGGTGCTTTCTCCCTGCTGGCAGATAGTATCAAAACCTTCCAGTATATTCCTATCTGCAATGCCTCAGTGAAAATTTTTGATTCTCAAAGTGAAATCCAAATTGGGGCTTTCAGAAACTAGGTGGGAACAGGGATTTTGGCACACAGTATACATGTGTATTGCAAAAACCTGGGAAGTGACCAGACTGTAGTTAAGGGAACTTGCAGGATTCTCACTTCTGATTGACATTTCCTAGTAAAATATTAATTTGAATCATTCTAAATGCAAAAAATCTGTGTTACCTGGCTGTCACACAATAAAGGTATAGCAAAACCTCTCAACAGGAGAGGGACAGGAAGCTCAGAAACAAACACAGTGCTGCTGAAGAAATATTGCTGCCATAAAAGGCAATCTTTTTCCTTCACTGAAATTTATGTTCTATATTGCATCACTATGATTATTCTTGCTATCATTTATTAACATTTTACACTTGGCCTGCTCAAAATGCTGGTTGGCACTTTTATTCAGAAGCTACAACTCTGCCCATTCCCCAGACTCAACACACAGCAGGACTTCAAGATATATTCCACTCTGTTGGTACTGACAATGTTTACACAAAACTGTATTCTTTCCTTGGGTTTATATAGTAAGGTAAAGGGGGAAATGCTGTATCATGGCATATACCATCTTCCTTATCTGTGTTAGAAACTTGGCAGAGAGTTTGGATTAAATGTGAACCACTTGTGCTAAAGAAAGGTTTTCTAGAATGATCATGTAACCTCTACTTGAGAATACCTAGAATTTAATTTTTACTTGCACTAGAATATAGCTGCTTTTAGATTTGCTTTGATAACATTATTTTGTAATTCAAACCCTGGGACAAACAAGTTTTCTTTTCCAAGAACATTACCTGAATGATCATTAAAGAGAATTGCAATGATGTCTTTACTAAGTACATCTCAGGGAAGTTTTCATCCATTGTGACTGTGCGGTATAAGTTTAGGTAAAGCAGGGCTACCACCCAACAGTGAGAAAGATTTTGTCATCTCTCAACAACATAAGAGATTTTTCTACCATAGGCTGTTCCTAGAATGATCAGTCAGCATGCAGTGGGTTTGACATATTCTGTACATCCTATATTCTTCTAGATATTGACTTGGGAAATTATTTCCAAAATCTTGGCCAATTCTCAGAGCTGCAATTAACACTGTTTATTTTGAGCAAAGCATCGTGTAGAACTTGCCCTAATTTTATCTGTGCTGCATGTGTGTATCCACTCATATCTTTGTGTGCATGACACATATCTCTGTGTGCATGCAGCAAAGGAGGAATAAACTGTCAGACTTTGCAGCCTGACTACTCATTCCTGTCATCTTTAGTGACAGTCTTTTCTCTAGATACGTTCCCATACTTGCCCTAATAGTAAAATTAACTGTCCTTTTATTTTGATGAAAACTCCCAATTCTAAATCTTTCAAGTCAGGAGGGTCTCTATTACATCCACCTGAGATTCAAAGGCTGCCTTGTCTTGAAATAGATTTTGATTGTTAAATACTTGTGTCTTGGCTCACAATGAAGTTTTCCCTTAAGAGGAGCAAACACTCAGGCTGGACATGTAGCTGCATATAAATAGCAGCAGTGTCAGCCACTCACCTTTATACCTGGAGGGCCTCTTCGACCTGCTGCACCCTAGGAAGGAATGGCATGAGAGATTACATCCAGAATACTGAGCAATATTTGAAACAGCAGTTTATCATAAAACACATTATACATACAATAAAACCAAATGCAGCTTAAAGAAAGCAGAGATTATTTCCACAGAAAGATTAAAGGGAGAAAAAGGTGGATTTGGGACAGAAATTCTTACACATGTAAGTCTTTCCAAAAAGAAAATATATTTTGGATCTTTAATGAGTGCAGAGAGAAGAGATTTCAACAAAATGCTGGAAAACATCTTCCCAGTCAGCTGCCCTTGGGCTAAACTAAAGAGAACAAGTGCCCTACTCTCCCTGTGAGCCCAGAGGTTTGCACCACTTCCTGCTGCACACTGCTCAGCAGCTCTAGTCAATGTTACTGCTAAACCTCACATCACCAGAGGCCTTTAGGATGTTTTTGCAGCATGACTGAGGAGTGATCATGCCCAACTTTGGCATTAGGCACCATTCTGACAGACTAGAAGAGGGGCCTTCACTATTTCCAGTCTCCAGTGAACTAAAAAAGAGCAGCTCAGCTGCCAGTGAGCTTATCTATATGCTTGAACAGACATGGAAAACTTGTAGTTATAGGCAGAAACAAGAGATAGATTCCTCTGGGGTAGAATTGTGAAGCAATTAAGGCTCACTGAAAAAGAAATTGAGTTTAAGGCTTGTGACTTCATATGAATCAGATCTGAATTTAACAGGAATGCAAATTCCTGATTTTAAAGAAAACACATTGCAATATATATAAGCTACTAAATTTAAGCCAAATATGTTTCACTATGAAAACTTTAGAAGACTTTTGTTCCTTCTCCTTGCAGGAGTTTGAAGGGTGGGATAACAGGAAGAACACAAAAATTAGTTTTCCCAGAGGGAGCCCCGCTGCATGTTTTATCCATTATTTGAACCCCATATTGATTGCTATTCTTACATCTAGGCCAGCATAACCCTGCTCTCCTTGGAGTCCACATGGGCCTTGGTCTCCCTGAAAAACAAAGTAATGATCATGCTCTTTAAACACTCTTTCCTTTTTCTAGTACATGCACATTCTCCTTCACACATTCTTTCTTTGTTTCTTCTTCTAAGTATTTTCATTGCAATTGTGTCATACTAATGTTGATTCTTGCTTTCTGCAAATCATTTATATTCAAAAATTATGAACCAGACAGATCACGTCTGCTTTGGATTTCAATAACTAACAGCCAATACTAAGTAAAGGCTTCTGTGAAATCATTCTTATTGATTTCAGCCTTTCATTTGGACTACTTAAGATGATATTTGCTTCCAAAGAGTAATCAAAACCTAATTATTCTCCAAAAAGTAACTCTCAGAGTTTTTCTACTGCTTTAAGCAGTCTACAGAGACATACATCTATGCATACAACCCTACTTGTTCAGAGAGAATCAGACTTCTAAAACAGTGAATTTTTCTCACATGTTTGCCACCCTCTTAAACTTTCATTCAGCATCATTTTTGTACTGCCCAATTACTTGTCAGTTTTGCTTATTTTTTCCCAAAAAAAATGTAATGGTAATGCAAGTTGTTATGCTTCTTTCCTTGCAGTTTTGCTAGAACACCTGTGAAAAACTCAAACATCACTATACAAGCACATATCCAAACTCTTATATTCTATTTACAGATCAAAATGGAGTTTACCCACCACGCTGAGCCAATAGCAGTCCCATAACATACTGAGTACAGCCTGTTGATACCCTGTGCATTTTTCCCAGCATGATTTTTAACAGTGTTCTTACAATCCATTACTGGAAGCCTTTCAGGCTACTAATGTAAATTTGTGGTAGAATAATACATTTACACTAAATCCATATTTTCCATTAATCCTGTATTATGAGAATATTTCTGTAGTCTTTGTAAATATTTTAACTTTTATTTTCTTTTTCCTCCTGTATCAAGCAGTTCCTAAAGCTTTCTGTGTTGGAGACAAACACTAAAGGCAAAATGCAAACAAAAACCTCCTTGGTCACTGGACAGCCAATAGAAATTAGCAATTAGGCAAATCCTCTCTTCACAAAATAGAACAACTTGCTTACCTGTGGTGCTAGGTGTCCCTTTTCACCCTTAGGGCCAGTAACATTATTGTTAGCCCCAGGATCTCCCTGAAAAAGATCAATGGAAAGCTCAGTATTTCCCATTACCATACCTTTATTACTTTGACTACTGCAGAAGGATACAGAAATAGAATTAATTAGATTTGTAATTGCAGACAGCAAAGAAATAAAAAGGCTGTTTTAAATGAAGATACTTGTAAGAACATGATATAAGAAGTTCTGCAAAGTCCACAAAGTTCTTTTCCACAGAGCTTAAAAGCAAAATTACTAATGGACAGCAAATTAAACTGAAAATGTGAAACTGTTCTGGTTGATTTGATATAGTTAATTAAGATCATAATTCATGGGTTTCAGATGATGGGTTACACTAGAATGGAGTTCCATTTCACCACTTAATGCTAGATCAGGTGAAATTCTAATCTTTCAAAGAGGCAAATTACTATGACACTTGATCATTTTTTTATTTAATTTAAGCTTTAAAGACAGAAGTCAGCACAATATATGACTGCTTGGAACAAAGCCTTTGAAATTTATGTGAAAAGACAAAGTTGTGTCTTTTCAAGACAAGAATTGTGGTGTCTGTACTGGAATTTTAGTCCTCAGGCAGTGCATTTATACAGGTCTCTGGAGCATGCAAGGAAAAAATGTGAACATGAAGAAGTAACTTTCCTTTGCCTCATTATAAATGACTAACCAAGAGTCAGTGCACAGGGTTTTTAAGCGATCCAGAATTCCTCTGTAGGGTGGGAACCAACAGGGAAGACTGACCTAGTCCATCTGGTCTTTTCACCAGACCATCTGGTCTAGTGTGAGGCATCCCTGCCCATGGCAAGGGATGTGGAACTAACTAGTTGATCTTTAAGGTCCCTGTCAGCCCAAGGCATTCTATGGTTCTATGATAAGTATCTCCAAAAGGAGATATGTTTTCTACAGTGAAAACAAACAAATCAACCAAAAAATCATAAACAAGCAGGAAACCTGACACTTAAGCACCTGCTTCCAAGCAACACATCAAAACACATCAGTCCATCTACATCTAAAGAGTTCAGGACTCCTAGAATATGCCATTTTTCTTGCAGAGTACTGCATTTTCTAGGACTGTGAAAAACTCTTCAAATCACATATATTTCAGACATCTCCATCACAAAATCAAGGTGCAAATCAGTGAAATAAAATAAAAATAAAGATCACTTACATGATCTCCTCTTAGACCAGATTCTCCTCGTTCACCTGGTTCTCCTCTGGGGCCTTTTCTGCCCTAAATTCATAAAAAGAGCACAAAGAATTCAGGTCCAAGTATAAATAGTATATGTGGCAGCAGAGGGTCAGATCTGTTGAAGTCAGTGGAGCTACACTGATTTAGAGCAAGAGTGACAGCATATTAGAGAACAGGCAGCTATTAAAAACAACTCACATGCATTACAGACACCATTACACTTTGGAAAGAAGTTTCCATAAAATCTAAACATTACTGTAAGGGGTACTTCACCCATTTTCCTCTGCTGCCTTTCTCTCCAGAAGGTCCAGGAAATCCACGTTCTCCCTAAACTCAGAAAGGGGAAAGAATAAAAAAAAATAATGTTTGTTCTTTCTGCTAAATCAGGTTCTCAAGTTTTTTCTGGCAGAATCAAGCTTCAATCGGATATACAATTCTAAAAACCCAGCAACAGAACTTTTGTTCAGCATTAAAGCCCATTCAAGGTACAATATCAGTACCTTTGAACCCTGAGGTTGGTGTCTTTAACAGCACTGCACATTTAAAGTAATGTTTACCTGCTCTCCATTAGTGCCATCAAATCCACTCTCACCATGTTCACCCTGTAGCAATAAAGAAAAAAAAAGCCAATAGCATTAGTCCACTTGGCTTTGAGTAAAGAAAGAAGTGCTCCCCCTGCATTTGGAAACTTGAGTAAGTTCTGTGGTTTTAATGATTACCAAGAATAATTAAGAATAATAACTATAAATTTTAATTACTAATTAATATTTTAATTAATTTCATTAATTAATGTCTAAAACAACTGTTAATTAATTAACACTTAGTAAGAAAAACAGCTATTTAAATTTTAGAGTTCCATCAGGATTTAAATTCTGCTTTTCCTTCTTTTAACTTTCAAATCTTTTCCTAGCTGCAGGACCTTCAAAATCCAAATATATTCCAAAATAAATTACTAGTATTTTATCTATCATGCTGATAATCTTGTAATTCTGATTTCAACCATCATATGTGTTTGTACTGTGCTTTGCTTTTTTACATAGTTTTATAACATGAACAGTGGATTGAAAAAAACAGAAAGAATAACCATGATTAAAAAAAAATTACAGAAGATTGATCTTAAACTTTAGGATTTTAAAAGAAACTTCATAACTCTTTCAGGAAGAGTACATAAATACCAATGCTACATAAATGTCAGTCACCTTCCCTTTCAAATTTACATTGCTTTTCTCTTCCCTTTGCCTGCAAAAATGATACAGCACATTGCAAACATTTATGGAAGTCATTTTCCCACAAAATACCCATCCCAGACTTAAGGAGTTTGCACTGTTAACTTGTGTGTGAGACTTCTAAATTAATTTGCAACTATGAGACTCTTAATTCACATATGTATGCTCCACAATGTTTCAGACTCAGCCAAATAACACACTCACTTTTTACAGGATATTTTGAAACCTCTTCCATCTTATTTTACTAGGATAAAAATGAAGGGATTAACTGTGATGGTTTAATTTGTAGTAAGAAATTAAATTAGCAGAGAGAACTAATCAGAAAGATGAAATGATATTCAACAAACTCTGAAAGTGGCACAAGAACAAGTTAAAATCAGTAGTCTAACTCTGGTAGAGACCACAGATACAATTGCTTTGGAGGTTTTGATGCTAAATTTACTTTGTAAAACCACCTAGTTAAAATTCCTGAGGAAGAACTTCTTTAATTTAAAGTAGTTCTGTATCTACTACAAGAAAAAAACAGCTGACTGTACATTTTGATTAAATTAATATGTCACAAACAAGAATTTCTTGAATAAGCATTCCAGAAAAAAATTTGAGCACTAAGTAAGTAATAGTGATTTTCATTAAAGTGTTATTTTTTTCCATCAGTCATTTCCTACCTCAGAAAAACTAAGCCAAACTTCATTCTATTAAATATTCAGTATTTCCTTTTATTCAATAGCTATAATAAAATGCCTTGCAGACTTCAATATCTTCAATAAACTGCTTCAGCCTTACTAAGTTGGCACAATTTAATCACATTTTTTATGTGCTGAAAGTTTCATATTTTTATTTAAAATAAAATCTGTGGATGCAATGACACAACATAATGAAGGTATTCACATATTTACTGGATTTCAGTAGGGTTTGTGCAACTAGTAAGACCTGCTGCACTATTTAACTTTTACAAATCAAAATCACCAGCAAGTACTCTCCCTCTTCTACAATCAGCTGTTTTAGATATTTGAAGGAGGACAACTTACTTCAGAGAACAGAGCAGAAAATGGAAAAGGAAAGAGAAGCACATGAGAACATTAAAAAGTTAGCACAGAGCAGTACTTAAAATAAAGCTGAGGTTTCAGAAACACTCTCTGAAACTCTCTGAAACACTTCTCCCAGCTGCTCAGTTACATCAAACATCTTCTGAATCTTTGAGGCTCGCAAGTCATTTTTAGAAGTGGTTTTGTATCAAAGCTTTCAATACAAGTTAATTATTTTTAATCACTGTAGCATGGAAACTATTACCATCATAGATCATGGTCTTCCAGGCCTCACATTTATTACTGAATTATTGACCATATCCCCTTCATGAGCAGGTATGATTAAAAAGGTTAAAAAGCAGACTTGAAATATTAGCAGACGAGATGACAAACACAGATTGAAGAGAAGTTTGGATATTGAAGACGTATCAATAACGATCTAGTGAAAATGCTGTCCAAACACCCAATAAATATTAGTTATAACCTTTTTTCGCTCTGCTCCTCTTCACAATTAGAATGAGATTCAGATGACCAAAATCACCACCTTAACAGATTATCAAATTAGTCAGTAAATAAATCCTTTTCCCATCAGTTAGACTAAATCAACTATGACTGCAATCATAAAAACACTGTTATGACTGCTGATTTTGATTAATGTGATAGGCATCTTGAATCCATCCTTAGAGAACCATAGCAAAAGTACATTAAATACTGAGAAGTTTTTACACTATTTTCCTTCCTTATTGATAATTTCATTTTACAGGGTAACAAGAAAGGAAGCTGAACTCTGTTCTCAAAGAAAATTGATCACACATGAAAACACATACCTGACTTCCTCTATAGCCTCTGGCCCCCTGAAATTGAAAATAAATATAGATGAAATTTGGTAAAAGTATTTTTATTGAGCTTGAAAAGCAGGGCACAATAGCTTGCTGTGTAGAGGTGTGCTGAGATCAGTATTGGTAGTCCCTGCTGTAAAACCTTCTACTTCCACGTATGGGATTTCCTCCTTTCCTCTAGGAACACAGTACAGGTTTAATTTTCATTCCCACTCCATAAAGCTATATAGCTTTAACTAAGGCCAGTCTGGAGTTGGTGGTGAAGAAGTCATCATGAAATTGCTTAGTCAGCAAAATCCTGAGCCATTCAACCATGCTTGGGCTGCACAAAATAACTCTCAAAATGAGACAGCAAACACTGTCTGCCATTCCTACAGCTGGATCTTGATGTTCATCCATGCTTCAGGAAGACAGCACAAGGATTTGTTCCCAGTACAGAAAACAGGTTTGTGGAAAACAAAATTAGGAAACGTTTCAAGGTTACATACTTGCCTTATGGCCTCTGGCACCTGGACATCCCCTGTCTCCTTGAGTCCCACTGAAACCAGCTGGGCCTCTGTCCCCCTAAGAAACAAAAGAAAATGTTCAATCTCACCCATAAAATGATGATTACTTCTTAATGCATCACATAAGATTAAAGCAAGACAGAGCTACATCACCATTCACTACACTAAGGACACAAAAGAAAGTCACCTGGAAATTTTCATATGGGCCATAAGAGAACATTAATTACTAGTTTGAGATGCACCTGGTTCTTTGCTCTCATTATCATGCCATGTTTATAGTGCATTACCTATCTCCAACTGAAATGCCTGTATTTGAAGGTGGGCTGGTTTTTTTAACAGAATAACTAAAGCATTTTTGGTGAGTTGGTTTTTTCACTAACTATCTATGGTGAGGTGCAGAGGCACAGAGAAACAGATCTGTATATCTACCTATTCCTTTAACGTATTTTGGGTTAACACTGATAGGTACTCAGTGAGTAAGTGCAGAGAGGTTCAGGCACCAAATAACATCATAGCAGGAAGATAAATGTTTACTTACAATCCCACCTTCCTCACCAGGATGGCCAGGAGACCCTCTGTAACCTGTACTTCCCTGAAAAATGACAATTTAAAAGATAAGTAACAATGTTATCCAAGCACACTGGGTTCATCTCTATCAGATTATTCTGCACATGGAGGTAGAAAACATTTCCTGAAAATTAGATCTGGTTATGCTGAGGACCACAGGCTCCCCACATTTACACAGTCACTGTACAATCCCATGTGTTTGACATGGCTGTGAAAAAAACCCCAAACACAACCCCAAGAAAATACCAATGGCTATTACAAAATTTCAGTTGGTGTTTTCACGATACTCTCTGATAAAAAAGCTCATTGGAGTACTTGGTCAAATCAAACATCTTTCCAGTGATTTGGAAAAGAAAGTATTATACAGTAATGAAATTCTAAGGCAAAATGAAAAATATAAGGAGTTGGAAATTTTTTAGGATGAAGTTATTGCAAACACATAGGAATATTTCAACTTTGTATTGGAAATCATGTAAATATCATACCCTTAGGGCAAAAACTTGAGCAGAGAGAAACTGGAACAAAGGGAATTTTTAGTAGCCAAACAACCTTGTTTACATTCTCAACACTGTCTTAGCACCTTAATCTAGCCTTTTAGTAAAATAGAAAGGTGTAAGAAAATCAACAAGAGTATAATGGAAGATATCAGTAAATTGATTTATGAAAAAGTATTAGAAGACTATACTTTTGTTAAGAGATAACCAAAAATTCATTAACTACAACCACATAACTGAACTGCAGATATCATTTATTTCACATGCTACTGGAATGAGTAGAAATAATGGAATGAATAGTAGTCTAATGGAGACTACATATATTTAAAACCTTAATAATTACTTCTGCAAGTATGCTGTATATAGTGATATCTATAATATTCAAAAAGGCTTAAAACAAACAATTTAAAATCTTAAAAGAAGTAATCTTTTTGGATCAAAACAGACTTATAGAAGAGGATATTTGGAATAACGAGTCACAAAAGGATAAGGCACGTACGTAGTGAAAAAGGATTATTTTCTAGTCTCAGCTTGTCATTTGGAAATTTCTCATTCCCAATAGATAATAAGTTTCTTGATTAATCAGACTTAATTTTTTTAATCCCTCTCCATATTCTGCTGAATTGGTGCAGGAGAGTGCTTAATGATTTTTTCTATGTACAAATAATTTCAATTACAAAAATACTTTTACATAGGAGCATGAAGCAGAGAAAGGATCATATTCAGTGTTTCTCCTTCATCTGTCCTAACATAAAATATCATGGGGACATGCATGCATGCTCTCAAATACTACAAAAACCAGAAACACTTTGAAAAATAAAGCTGTTCTTATTTAATGTCTATCTTAGACCTCCTACCTTCCTTCCAGGATTTCCCCGGACACCATGATCACCACTTTCTCCAAGACACTTACAAATAACCTTACAGCATTTTCTTTCTGCAACAGTATCCTGAAAAATTACAAGAAACATTTCATTTACATGTATTAATCATAAAACAAAGACTGATTTTTCCCCTCCTTTTGTTTGTATCATAAAAGGACTTACAAGGTTTCTCTGCAAGATGTTTGCAATATCTTCAAACCCAACACTCAGAGGTTCATTGTATCCAAACCCTCTGCCAAACTCTATTTCCCAAAATTCAGTCAAGTTCTGTGTATTGTCCAGGCCAGCTAATAGAAGTGCATCAAGCCCTTCAACATAAGCACAGACTTAAATTAGTGAATTTAACCACTATTAAAAAACATACTATTTAACCAACAATATAAACTTTAATAACAGCAATTCCCTGCAAGACTTACATTTCATGGCTTCAACACAGAATGCTAAAAGAAATCAAGCTATTGAAAAAAATGTGTAAGAGGAAAATCGAGACCAGTAATTTTCCAGTTGATTTCTCTCCCTATCTGTCAGACCAGATTGTTATTCAGATGCCCAAACACAAGTTCAAGCCTGTTTTTTTCCTAGACAAGTCAGAGTTGTACCTAACCTGTGATGAGAGGAGTTCATCCTGAATTGCTTCAGGTGCTGGAGCTAGACTCCAGAAACAAGAACCTCTGCACCCCTAGGCATGTCTCTGGCATCATCTGCCATATAGTGATAAGTCATTACATACACTCTTTCACATGAAGAAGCAAATACTCTCCCAGGGACTCCTGGGCAATGCCACATGAGCATGGAGAGGCAGTGTTACATGGAAAAGTTGCAATGGGGGAGCTGTACATCAGGCCTGTGGTAGTAGGAGGCTGGAATATCCATGTGGTACTGTAATACCTTTAAAGCGAAGTGAGTCTGCTGCTTTCTTCAGGTCTTCCAGTGAATCATCCAGTCCATCTGAAAATACTAACAGAACCTGTCAGGAAAGGGAGTAATGACAAATCAATTGCAAAGGGACTGAAAGTTCAGTCTTTGTAAAAAGTACAGTTCACATTGAGAAATGGCTCGGAGATAGTCAAATTGCATTAGACTGTGGTAGATCTGAAATGTGTGCTGGAAAATGGTAGTGAGGAACAACGAGAACAGAACACAAAAGCTTCTCTTCCTTGGTAGCACTTCTATTTGAGGGATTTTTCTTGCTGAATATAGCATGGCTATTATACCTGTTATCTTAGCATGCAAGGTAGGAGACAAATTCTTTTTTAACTTACCCACTGAAAAACTTTCTCTGATGTCTGAAGAATTCTCTTATATGTGAATGTGGAGAATCATTTAAAGCAAACAAATTTTCCCATTTCTCCAATAGCAGCTCCTGTTAGCTGTCAACTGGGCCATACCAGTAAGAGCATCCTTTTTCGTTCTAGTCCTCTCCCCATGCAGATAGGCATGTCATCACCCTGTTCTGTTCTCTGCCCTGTGTTTCCTTCCTAAGACATCAGGTTTAGCTCACCTCAGGATGTTAATAATTTATATTTGCTACATTTCCATTTTTTCACGCCAAAGAGTTATAGCTAAGTCCTCTTCCAAGAAAGCACAATTTCTTACAACTCTCCCTCAAGCCATCAGTCCCTTCCCATTTTCCTCCTCCAATTCCCTCTTCAAACCAACAGAAGATCAGATTCCACTCACTCAGTGGATTTGCCTAAAAAGAAGCTGCACAAGTAAATTGTGTCCTTTCCCCAATGGTAATGACTTAAAATCCTCCTAAACTCTCTGACCAACAAGTGGGCAAGCACAGCTAGAGCTTCTTTCCTCCTACCTTCATATTTTACATTTTCTATGCAAGGCATGGCTTTGACCAATGCAAACACCATTACTTCTGTTAAAGTAATTTTTTCCACAAGTGACAAAAGCAAATGAAGTGACTGCCACACCAATTAAAGCTAGAGCTAACTGGTAAGTTACCAAATACACAACATGGAGGCACTGGTACAAATTCTATGCTTACTCAAGCACCACGTGATACAGCAGAGAGCTGGACGATGGATGGGTAAACTCATCACAGATTGTTAAAGACAACACTGTAGGCCTGGTTTTGGTTGTTTTTAATATGATCTTTCAATTTTAAAAACATGGGGAACAGAAAATATGGCGTGTTATCGCAGGCATTATATGTAAATATATGTAAAGATATTATTTTTACAAAGCATCTGTTTATATCAAGCTCTTGTTGGAACACATCCATTGTTGAAAATGCTGGAATTAGGTACAACTTTTTTTGCTGCTAAGCAAACAAATAACAAAGAAAAGAAGAAATTCAACCAACAGAGAATCATAGTCCCTGATGAGTTTTATAATGAATAATCTTTACAGAACAAGCATGTTATTGCTCAGGATTCTAGGAAAATTATGATTTCATGCACATTCTAAATTCTTGTACTTTCAATTTGTATATAAACAGTGTCAGAGAAGAATATTAATCCACTGGTAAAGTGCTGAGATATGTAGCATATTTATTTATAATAATATTGCCTAAGCAGAAAGAAGCCTTGCTTGACGCTGATCTCCAGAACTGTCAATTAGGAGGAAAAAAGCACTGCTTTTACTTTTATGTCAAACAAGTTCTTTCTCTGAGACTCAGAACAAACAAAATCTTATGTGGTCTTGTTCCCTGTTCAGACATTTTAAGAAATCTTTGGAAAAAACCCATTAAATATGCAAATTGGTAAGTAAATTAATTACTTAAATTGGTAAGTCACACACACACTTATGCGAATGCTGTAAAAAATAGAACGCCAACTTTCACCAGAAAGAGGAGGAATTTGTAATATGGCTTCCTCACTCCATGCCAGATTAAAATTGGTGTTTTATAAAAATGAAAATAAAGTTGGATGAGGAAACCTCTTATGTATTTGGCAACAACTAACCAGTCCTTCCTCAGTAGGAAGGTCTTCCTGCATGGAGACCTTAGTAAGTACTAATATTCAATTACTACAGGACATGCTCAGTGCTTTAGAGTCAGTGCCTTATCAAGAATAAATTGTTAAGGCATTGACCCTGCAACAGTCCAATGAGATCTGAATTTCTTGAACCCAAGCTGAAAGAATCCCCATTCATTTCAGAAGAGATTAGATGAAGCTTTATGCTTCTCTCTTCACCTCACTTCAAGATGGATGAATTAACTGCAGCATCTAAGCAGATTTTCCTGATCATCACTTATCTGCAAGTAGAACCCAGCCTTGTTACTTGAAATTATTTGACAAGTTAATGACATGAACAAACTTCTGTGAACAAATTCCTCAGATGACCTTTTCCTGTAACTTCTGCTTCGAGCTGCCACTATTCTGGACAAAGACACAGAATCATGAATTAAAATGTAGTTTCCTTTTAAGAATAAGAGTTCCTGAAAGAAAACCACTTTCCACTGCCCAAAGTACAATCATTCCATGGTATATATAAGAAGGTTGTTTGTATGAATACTCATCATCACATGTATTAAACCAAATGTTCTAGGTACCATCTCACTACAGGAGTGCCTAAGGAATTGGAATTGATATATCAAGGTATATCAGATCCATGAAAAAACAGGAGGCTCTATATAAACTTAAGAAAATATGAGGGTGACTGAGAGAGCTTCAGGCACAGCTTGCCTGGAAACATTGAGAAGTCTCCATTGAAGATACACAAAAGCCATTAGGACACAGCCCTGGACAGCCCACTCTAGTTGTTCCTCATTGGGCACAGGGATTGAAGAAGGTGACTTCCAGGGATTCCTTCTAATCTCTACCATTTTGTGATTCTGCATATTAGCATCATCTATTACCAAACTACTTTTTTGTCTTCCTGGAGTACTCAGCATCAGAGTCTGTAAATATCAAAATGCCTAATTTTTCCAAGATGTATTTTCATACCACTAAGTTACCTTAACTTTAGCAGAGGTCGCATTAAAGAAGCTCTCCTCAAGTGCCTGCAAAAAGTCTGCATTCATGTAGGTGTCCACAGTGCTCTGTGTATCTAAGAACTTCTGGATGATCTCTTCATTATAGTCTTCAAAACCAGAGTCAAAGATTAATTGTTTGTTCTGTGCCAATACTTGGAACTTAAACCCAATGTCAACTGGAGCATTACAGCTGGTATTTGGCAGTGATTTCATCTGGAGTAGAAGTCTGGGGAGGAATGCTTGCAGTCTCTGTTTCAGAAGCATTGTGGATGAAGGCTGCATGCTCCTTGAAATATCAATTGCTATAGAAAGATCTATGATGCATTCTGAAAAAAAAAAAAATAGGGAACAGGGAACTATAAACATGCATTCATTGTGATCTTGTTCTCTGCCAGAATCATGGAACAAAATTTGACATGATTGATTTAAAGCCAGAAGTAAGAATCAGTGAGATAGGTTTTCCATAAATATAAAGCACCATCAGCCCATAGGCTTCAGTGTGGCCATGTGAACTTGCAAATACAAAGAACTAAATAACCTGACACCTGCACACACCCAAACTGCAAATCGTATCTGTTCTCCAGCTGCCCAGTGTCCTCAAAGGGCCTAATCATGAAAATGTCTCCATGAGCTTTGCTACCAACCAAGAATGTTCAACACAAATTCCAGCTGTGAAGGGAACCTTGATGACTGACTGTGCTCTGTCACAAGACCAGGTGAAACATGCAAATGTAGAAAAACAGGCCAAAGAAACAAACATGAGAGAGAGAGGGGTAGCATTGCCTACATGAAATGTCATAACCATTGTGAAAAACAGCTGCTGTAAGGCGATGGCTACTTCAGTTATGGAATTGCTTGCATTGCTGCTTATAATAACAACCGATAGTGTGACATGGTTAATTTCTCCCCCGCCCCAACCATCTTGCCATCATTAAAACTTCAGCTAAACCCCATGTTTTTTTTCTTCTCTACCTTGATTTTTTCTCATGTTGAATATTATCCTGAGATCCTAGATGCATTATTATTCATTGCTGTACCTCTGCAAGGAAGTCAGAGGCATGCAATTTTAGCTGTAAAACAGAACTCTACCTAAATTTATTCTCTTTTCACTCATTGACTCTGAAACACCCAGCAATCACAAGATTGCTTTCTGTGTTTGCTAGTTTGGGCTTGTTCCTATTATTCCACATAAGTTTTCTGAGTTCTCCCTCTCTCATGAAAAAGATATATGTGTTCAGTTCTTTAACCAAATACTTCTAGAAATAATTTCATCTCAGAGGGACCATCATTATGTTTCAATATTTTCACTTGTGGTACAAACTGCCCCCTAGAGGATATGATCTCCTGGAAAGCAGTGTCAAAATCTTTGACTGTAAAAGGCCACATTGAACACGATTTTATGGCCAAAAAAAATCTGACAGACCTCAGAGCAACATCAAAAATCTATGTCTCATCTTCTTAGGTCACAACAAAACAATCAGCTAAATATATCTATACCTGCATACCTGTCTACACACATACGTGAACACAAAATCTAATAGATATTTCTTCCAGTATGTGTTCTTGTACAGAACACAGATTATGTGTTCACAAGGAGAATCTTCTAAGACCTGGGTCTTTTTAGTCACATAGTTTGGGGGCAGTGTGAAAGGTAATCATGAACTCAGCAACTTTGCCCTGACAATTGGTCACCCACACTGCTCAGCTCTTAAAACGTTCTCTGTCAAGTCTTCAGTGTATGAGCAAGAATAACAAAACAGCAGTAAATAGTTCACTTTTTGTGCTACTGTGTTGTGCATGAGAATGTGTAAAACATCTGGTAGGTATTCTATATCTTGTTGGTAATCTCTATGTATTTGCAGGAGTAAACAGCTGTGTGTTGCCACACTTATTCTCACCACCTGCTCTCCTATGAACATCCACATTGTTAACTGCCCTGTCTTACTGCTGCAAAGGTATCTTTTTTCTCCTGACAACATGCTGTCCCTGAAATTCAATTCTTTAAATTGACAAATCTGTCAATTTAAAAGAAGGTGACTCGAGAAAAGGGAATTAATAGATTTATTACAGGAAAAAAGGTCAGTGAACATATTAAAACAGATGACAGGACAAGATGAAACAGACTTCACAGAGAGTTGATCTCCATTTTATGAGATAAATTTATGCAGATCTTAGCAATAAATATATGCATCACTGAGGTGAAACCCAACATGCTTTCCTTAACTTCTCTCTCTCTAAACAAGTGTCCCTGTATATATATTAAGTTTACTGCTGTATCTCCCATTAAATCTCCCTGTTCCCTGCCATGAAACACCAGGAGGTGCTACTGTGTCAGCCATAGTCATGCTTCTCCATGGCAGCATATTCCACTTCCACAGCAGCCCTCTCTCTGCTTGCAGGAGTCAGGGAATGCTTTTTCATCTGGGAGTCTGCTCAGCTCTTGATGGGAAAAAGAGTGGGTGGTAGTGCAGAACTCATACTGAATCAGGCCCAGCTGTTCTCTCTGCAAACCACCTGAGCAGATTTAACTCACACAAGTTACTTCTGTCTTTAGGAAGAAAGGTTCAGCCCTTCATTTTGGCCTCCAACACCCCAGCAAACACCAGACAGTTTTGGGTTGTTCAAGATCTCAGTAGCCTAGGATGCATGAGAGGTCCAGCTGTTGTTTCAAAATGCCTTAGACAAGCAGTGTGGTCATCCCAGTGCTCCTTTCTCAGTAAGTTTCTGATCACAAAGGGAATGAAACCTGGAGAACTGGGTTGGATCAATGTTAGGGCATAAAAAGGAGAACAAAAAGCATACATCCAACACATGTATAATATCACCTCTATGTGAACACAACACACAGGAAGACAACAAGGAGCCTTAAAGGATAGTCACAGTCCTTACAACAATGAGCAAAAAGAGAAGAAAGGCTCCAGAACTGTCTCTTCTTCAATCAATGTCATGTGCTTATGCCACAGACAGAAGAGATCAGCTTTTTGATTTGCCGTGCACTCCATTTTTCTTTTTTTCAACTTAACAAACACATCTATGATATTATCAAACTACATAGCCAGTATGAATATGTAATGTTAAAGAGCAACTGTGTATGTTCTGTACTTCAGTGTTCCCACATGATAAGACACCTGGTAATGCAGCACCAAATCAGAATAAACTCAGACTCAAAACCAGCATGTGACATTTGATAAAAGTCGATGTTAACTAAAGGCATTACCTAACATTTATTTTCTTTGGGGATGGCAGACTCTCAGGCTGTATGGCATTCAAGCTACTGTTGCCATCTAAAAAATGTAGTAAGAGATACCACTTTCTGTTTCTCATCTAGGAAAAGCTTTTGGGTAGCACCCCAGAATTACCATGGATTTGCTGTTCACATCTTGCCAATACCTCCCACATATCCAAGGATGGATTTCCTCACACTCCCTCTGCACAGTGCCTCTGTGAGACTTCAGTGTTGCTGACAGAAAGTGGCTGCTGACAGACCCACTGAAGCAGTATGGTCAGCTGGAGACAGCAAAGTTATGTTTCTATGAGGTTCTTTTTAAAATATCACTGAATTGTCTGTTTCCCTCTTTTTATTAAGATACCTGCTGGAAGTATCTGCTCTGGCTCCTTTCAAACACTGAGGAACTACGAATATGAAGGCTTAATATTAAGCACTGTCTTACTTCAGAAGCTGTTTACCATACCGAGGAGTGTAGTGGCTCTTGACTGAAGCCAAGTACAAGCTGTGAGTTGCAGACACAGGCAGTATTCTTTGGTAAAACAATTGCACTGCTGTGCAGCTAGCTCAGGTGCTTTTATCAGGGACTGCAGAAAGCTGTGTGGATATTTGTCATTGTACACACAACAAAAGTTTTGTTCCTTACCCTGACCAAGGAGACGTTTGCATTAATAGACCCAATGGACATTATTTTTGATAGTTTTCAGTGCATCAAGATTTTCCACTGTGAAATCTCCTTGCATCATCAGCTATTAAAAACAGCTCTCACGGAGGATTTTATCATCCCTATGTCAGCTTCAAAAACATAGATCCCATTCCTACTCAAAGCCATTGCTGCATCCTCTGCCCTGTCAGCAGAGTACTCACTGAAAAAGGCTCTGCACAAGCCTCTTTTTGGCTACCAGCACTTACTATGAAGTGATTCTCTAGCAATGGAGGCTCTGTCCTGTTTTGGTGCCTCCTTCTTTGTAATGTAACTTTTGTATCTTCTATAAAGAATCATTTTTGTTATATAAAGTGTTCAACAAGAATTCAGTGTATGCCACATCACTGTGCTCAATATCACACCAACACAAATTTTGTCTTGCCATTGATCATTGTGCATGATCTTGAAGTTCTTTGCCCCCTAGATACTCCAGGATCCATCTACCAGGAAAATGATGCCTGTAATGGAAACTTTCTTGCAGAATGAAGAAATATGTTGTAACTTTCCTCTTTCCCTAAAGGTTGTGTAATCTAATAAAAAAGTAATTTTGAATCCTAATTGCTTTTCAGAATCCAAGACTGGATTAGCTTTTTGCAGAAAAACCCTTCCATCTATCCTGCTAAATTGCCATCACCCACTAGTTCCTTCTTTTCCCCTGTTTATCATGCAGAGGGTCAGAAGATACATCTTTCTGCAACACCATTAGTAGAAAAAGGAGAGATGCTGAAATCCACAACACAATTTTAATTTGCAGTCTGCTCAGAACTTATCTGTAGTAGATGCATATTAAACAGTTCCGTATGTGAAACATAACCATAAGAGTTGTTGGCCTGCTCTCAAGAGAGCAAAGGAAAAGTTAGTCATGCACTTTGAGCTCCATTCTATATGCATACATTAATAATTAATATTTATTTTCTGAAGGGGAAAAAAATTAGTTCACACCAACTTAAGGAGTACTAAGCACATTTCTTTGTAGTAAGTATTAAACTCACGTGTTTCCACAAATTCCAGAAGCATATAACACTAGCAGAGCATAGATGGAACAGTTTTCCAAATAGATTCCTCAAATCGACAGTCATGCAGAAAATATTGTTCATCTGGGCAGAACAGTTCTCAAACAGATCTTCCAGAAGACCTGACTACCAAAATGGAACTGCTAAATACTGTGACTTACCTTGCTTTTGGCAGTCTTGCAACTGTAAGAGCTTTACATTGCTTTTGCAAATATGAAACCACAGCATGTGTGAACAAACTCAAAATTTAATGAGCTGTTGCATTAAATTTTGCATTACTTTTTTAGAAAAACTCTCTTATTGCAGTTATAAGTTTTATAAAAAACATACCACATTA